GGTGGTTTGCAAACGGAGAATGAATCCTTAGTGAGCATCTGTGGAGACCCGACTGTCCCACTGGGTGCTTCCCTGTGCAATATCTCCGCGGCTTCCAACATGGAGGGGCGGGGCTTTGGCTCTTTTTTTGTTTCTGCTGGGTAGTCTGGTGTTATTCTCCCCATTTACAGATCCGATCAGAACACTGAGGCTCAGGGGAGCCACAGAATCACCCAGGGTCACCGAGCTCATGACTGGCTGCTCAGGGCCTTCCGGGGGCCCAAGAAAAATACAGATTGTGACAGACTGACTCTCCTCCCAGCCGGAGAAGTTATCTTCTTCCTTTCCGTAAACATGGGGGTGGAGCACAGGGCTGATGTGTGAGCAGAGTGGAGAAATCTAGAAATAAGTCCTTGCTGGGTGTGAAAGAGCCAGGGAGCTTGCAGGGCACGAGGAGGTCCCATTTGAGGCTGGCACCCGTGCTTTGTCATGGCAGTCAACCAAGAGAGAGCTCAGCGTGGAGTCACAATAGTCCAAGAAGAAGGCGATGCCAGTAGAGGGAGAAATATATGTTGGGGCTACGGCCCTGGCCCTTTGTAGGTCTCTCGCTCTCTCTCTCTCACTCTCTGACCGCGTTCATCCTTCTTATAGGCATCCTGATTGTCTTCTCTTCTCTTTTATTTGAAAAAATAAAAATAGTTGGTGGCATTTGCACTCGCGGGTCACGAGCCACAGTTTGGAAAACACTGGCCTTCCTTCCCGTGCCCTGTTCCCCAGAGCTCCAGGCAAGAGGCCCTGGGGCAGCCCGGAGTCCACTGATTCCACACTCACCACCCCCCCACGTACATACTCACTCACTCACTCACTGCTTTGGCAACAGTTCCCCAGCGCCCGTGGGGGTCCTACAATTCAACCCGGTTCTGACACTAAGTACCTGGAGTGAGTGCAGACCCCGTAGGTTAAAGAGCAGGGTCCCCAGCGAGACTGCCCTTACTTCAGACGCCAGACACAAGTGGGGTCCCCAGGCTACCCAGACTTCTGACTTGGCTTTAAGCATGACGGCCCCCCCCTTCAAAGTTGATCATTCACTGAATGACTCTGAGAACTCACTGCAGTGACTCTATTTCTGCTGACCCTTTTATTCTGAAGGACACAACTCAAGAGCAGCTGGGGACAGAGACGAATAGGGGTGAGGTCTGGGGTGGGGAGGGGCGCACAGAGCTCCCGTTCCCTCCCCCTGGTGGAATCCAGGCCCAGCACCCCTGACACATCTATGTGTTCACCAACCAGAAATCTCCACGGAGTTTTATCTCCTGGGCATGACTGGGCCGACTAACATGTTGGCCATCCAGTCTGCAGCTCCCCGGAGAGGCAGAGGTGGGGCCGAAAGCTCCAACCCTCCATTCCCCACCCCCCACCCCCGCTGGTTTTTCTGTGGCCAGCCCCTCCTTTGACACCAAGGGCTGCCCTGAGTCACCTGTTAGTGTGAATTCAGGTACAGTTAAAACGGCTCATTATGAATAATAAAGGACACTTATCACTCAGGAAATTCCAAGGGTTTTTGTAGCTCTGTGCCAGGAACCTGAGACAAAGACCAGATCCCCTTTTCATTATACTACACTCCCC